TCTCATCTATTCTCGCTTGTACGTATTAATTGCCTGAACGTGCCACACAAAAATGCTTCAAAGGGCGCAGGACTTCTCATTTGTTCATCAAAGGGAAGATGATGAGTAGTGTGAGATCATATGACCTACCCACAATGCTCCTCAGGGCACAGAGGAGCAGAACCAAGTGTGTAAGTCAGCCAATGAAAATATGGAAGCATTCTTGAGCATGCTGGATAAACAAGATCATATTTGACCAATTAGCGTTATAATAACATGAAATTGATTGTAATAGCAGAAATTATGGTCCGTGTTTGTTACTTTTTAGTCTCATGCTGGGAGCGAAGATTGAAGTTTAAAGCCTGAAAAGAGGACTTTGTTTTTTTTTGTTGCATTTACAAAGTTAAAACAGTGAACAAGTATGGGATTAGTTTTGTTTCATAAAGATAAAGCAACACTTTCTCAGAATCAAGCAAAACTAAGAGTTTAAGAGAAAAAAAAACTGAGTCAAGCTAAATTAATTTAATTTAAAAAAGAAAACTATAAATTGCAAACAAATCATTTGTGTAATCATGTAAACTATAAGTATTTTTTCTTTGTTTTAACATACTTTTGCTCTCGCTGCAGCTCTTCTCGTTTGCGCTCCCTCATTTTTTGTTTTCGATTTCGACAAACGTCCCAGGTGGGCTGGACTTTCAGGGGTGCGTTCCCATTGGCTACTCAGTTGGCTACTTCCTCTGAGGGGACAGCACGGAGGGGGGGGCATGAAGAAAGACCTGCACCAGCTTCATCCACGCTGGGCGTTGCTGTTATCACTTGCTCAGTGTCATTTCATTTGACCAAATGTCTTTACATATACATTTAATAGATTTTATTATTATCCACCTTTTTGTTTTATGTCCTTTTATTTAAAACATTCTTTGAGACTTCATCTTCTGGTTCAAATTTCAATAAATGTAATTTGTATAATCACTCTTTTGTCTTTATTCTACATGAAAATGTTAGAGATTCCATATCTGTTGATTATTCATATCTTCCTCAGGCTAGGAATAGTATGTCAAGTTTTTAATGCTAAATATATATCATTTTCTCACAGGATATAGAATGAGACAACACAGTTTGTATCCATTGTGTATAAATAAATGCTTCAGCTCTTCAGACCAACATAGTAAGATGTGAGCATGTTCCTAATTGTGTTGGTATGCACAAATGGTATGGTCTGTTTAATAAAGCAAATCTGCCACTTTTATATTGTAGAATTTGTTAAATTAAAGCAGTCTTTAATTGTTTGTCCTAAACATAGCAATATATGCTTTTGAAATGTAACATGTCTTTGAAAAAATAACAGCATACAGTTTATATTGTGTATCACCTTTAGCTTGAAAATACATAGATGTGGTTTTTTTATCTATAAAATATATAAATAGACAGACAGACACTTTATCAATCCCAAATTGGGAAATTATTTAACAGCAGCAGTGTGTTCAGGTATTAAAATATTTAAAGTTGGAATAAAGTATAAACTACACAACACAAGTATAATGGACAGCAATCCATAAGGTAAGTCCGATATGTTCATGAAAACTCCCCAGGAGACACCAACACAAATGTGGCCGAGTGGACTCCGGAGTTTGCTGCATGAGTTGCACTGTACGATCTGTGGTGTAGTGGGCTGTCACTCAAAAACTGAGTAGCCAATGGGGACGCACCCCTGAAAGTCCCGCCCACCTGGGACGTTTGTGTCAAAATCGAAAACAAAAAATGAGGGAGCGCAAACGAGAAGAGCTGCAGCGAGAGCAAAAGTCTGATCATTGAGAAAGAAGCAGAGAACTGCAAACAAAAAGATATGTTAAAACAAAGAAAAAATACTTATAGTTTACATGATTACACAAATGATTTGTTTGCAACTTATAGTTTTATTTTTTAAATTAAATTAATTTTGCTTGACTCAGTTTTTTTTTCTCTTAAACTCTTAGTTTTGCTTGATTCTGAGAAAGTGTTGCTTTATCTTTATGAAACAAAACTAATCCCATAAACAAGCAGCTGCCAACTGCTTTTGTTTTCAAAAGATTCAAGGCCATTTTTAAATATGAGGATTGTAGACATCTTCATTGTTTGGTTGTTTTTGAGGTGACATAGTGAACATTTAAGACTTTACATTTCATGAGTAGTGCTTAGGGTGCATGAGATTGAATGAAATGGCCATGAAAGATATAAATGAACTGCAAGTATAAAGAAAAACGAGCGAACGATTCACAGCTACAGTTAAATGCTGTCTCGAAACTCATGTAGAACTGAAATACTCAACTTACCAAAAATGCACAAAGTTTAGCACTTAGTTTGAAATAGTTACCCTGTGACTGCCTATTTCAATAAATACAAAGCCAAAATAAACTATTATTATATGTCAAAATATACCAGCTACAAAGCCGCCAGGTGGCTATAACCCAAATAAGCACCTCTAACTATAGAAGAGAAATAAGTATGGTAAAGGTGGCAGCAGTAAGCTAAGAAACATCAATGATTCAGCAGAATATTCAGAAGCTAATAAACTACAAATAAGCATCAGATGATCATGGGTTCATACTGTAAGCTCAATATCATGAGTGCAGCATGAGGCAGAGATCAGAGCTGATCCGTTAGATGCATCCATGATTATGAATAATAATAAAGCAGGCTGACATATAACCCACACTTTGAGTTTAAATGTTTATCTAAGGCTTCACTTAACATGAGGTGAAGGATGTAAGAAGAGTCGAGAAAGTAGGGCACCACAAAATATATCGTTTTTAACTGTCGTCTTGCAATGTCATCTTGTCCATTAGAAACATAGCAAAAATCTCTTTTTTACGTTTAAAGAGTATCAGTAGAAAATAAGTAAGCTTCATTTTTTTTCTTTGATTTGCTTTGACAGCATTGCAAAAGCAGCAGAACTAAAAATAGTTTAATTTAAATCAACATTATTGCACATACTCTGAAATCGTGCAGGGCTATACAGTTACACATGTACAAGTTTCCATAGAAACCAATATAAAAAGAAAGAAATCCCAGAAATAAATTATATTCTCTATAGAGACTAGAGGTAAGACTGAAGCAATATCAAAATCCAAATCAGCAGCAGGTAAGGAGGATTTATGTCACGCACACTAATTCTAAATCTAAATACTCAATTATGAATACTCAAATCTCAGTTTCCATTTTCACAAACACAAATCAAGTTCCTGTAGGCAACACAATGCAGTTAACGAATTAAAATAAATAGAAAATAACAATAGTTGCCAAGGGAATAATGACAAAGAAAAGATAGAACATTGCATATAAGGACAAAATACACAGCAGATTACAGCGTGAGATGTTCAGCAGGTCAGCAGCCACAAGCTACAAGTTAGCATCTCCTCCTGGGACCCAGCCCATTGAAAATGTCCACTGACTGTAGTGGACATTTTGTTAACATGCATCTCATTTGACTCTTTTGAGCTACTCTATAAATCTGTGATGTACTGTACAGAGGACATCCTGGTCTTTCCAGTGATATGTAATTGGTTAAAATTGCATGCTGGGAAGTTCCTCTTTCTTTTCATCCAAAATGGCTGGCATACCATAAACAAAATGTTATAGAAGCAGGAGGAGAAGTCAAATATTGTTGAATAATTGTAATTTTTACCATGAAACTCATATATGTTCTTGTTTATTAACATGTGAGGAACTATATAATTAGTTCTGAAAGCAATCAAATAATTCAAGTTTTGAAATAACAGCTCTTTTATAAATGGCCATCCTAGTGGACGTCAGGACCATCTTCATGGACTTAAAGGTGGGGTAGGTAATTTTGGAGAAACCAGCTCGAGTGCGCTAGAATTTGAAAATACACAACTGGAGAAAATCTGCCACTTCCTTACAGAGCCCCTCCTCCAACACAGTACACACGAACGCGCACATGACCAATGAGGGCACGAGATAAATTTGTGCACAGATGGAAGGCTGACAGGCAGGTAGGCTATCCAGTTATTTTAGCCGGGCCGGCTAAAATGATTGGTCGTGCTTTTTACAGTACTACGGCTTCCACAGATGACATTTTTTTATGGATTTTTTGTCAAAGCACTTAAGATATTCATTGCTATCGGGATGTTAAGAGCATTCCATGGAATATAACAAAAAGTGTATCTCGAGCCGGTTTCTCAAACTTACCTACCCCACCTTTAATGACTCAATATTGTTGCAGGAGACGGAACTGAAGCAGACATTTTCTATACCAGATAGTTAAGGGAGATTCAGATTTTGAGCTCTCAGATGATGAGAGAGATGAGGATTTCACACCTGGGATAGAAGAGGGTCGAGAAGAAGGGGGGAAAGATGCAGACAGAGAGACAGATAGGGACGAGCTGGAAAGACATGGCCCTCTGTGGGCCAAGAGTAGCACGTATGTCTTATTGTTGTTTTTATTTTAAGTGGAGCCATGAAAAATGAGAATTGCCTCAGGAATGCCAAGTTTGTTTCTAAGAGCATGGTAAAATGGAGACCACATCCATAAAACTAGTCAAGATTACCCTACAGCTCGTGCCGACCAGAGTCAATGAGGTACTTTTCCCACTACATTGACTACAAAGTCTTTGAAGATCTGGAAAGATTCACCAAAAACCAAGTGACCAAATCAACAGCAATGTTCAGATCAATTACCTATTTATGTTTTAAATAAAGGTGAATGTATTCTTGTATTAATATCACTCTATAACCATAATTCGTTACATAGTCTATCTGTTAATTTTGGCTGTCTTTTCAAACTAAAATGGTCCTGATGTCCTCTACAGTGGACATACTGTAACATTTAAAAACTAAATACAATTTAAAAAAGTCTAAATTGCAAGATGTTATTTTAACCCTAAATAGGTAGGAAATAAAAAATAAAGAACATTGGAAAAAAACAATTTCCTCGGTTCCCAGGAGGATATAGCATACACAACACCAACTGAACATAGCCAAGACAAACACTCACAATGTTAGCACAAGCAGTAAACACTTACCTTGATGAACTGAAGAGTAAATCCTAAGTGATGATATGAAGTGATTGCAAGTCAAATTTGGAATAACAGGACCGAAAAACTCCACTTCCGGTTTGTGGCCTCAGCTGATTTCGGAACCAGCATCAAGCAGGAGCTTTTCCTTCACAAAGCAATCCTGAGTTGAAATGTGTGCACTATTGCAGGGAGGATTCCTTTAGACACGACATCTGAGCACAGTTTTGCAGCTGATTTTAGCACACCTGATGCATCGCAGGTGAGCAGCACGGGGAAACAAGTGGGCGGGGCTTTGAAGGGTTTAAATAGCACGCCTTCAACTGAGGGTGCGCTCGATATACTGCATGGTGCAGTCAGGTGAGTTTAGGAGAGCACTTGACTTGAAACTGCTCGCAGGCTTCACACCATTTAACGTGTTTTCCCAACATTTTCTGGAGAAACTTGATTCAGGTTTGGTATCATTTTGATGATGTAGAGATCTTTCAACGTAAAAGTTTAAATACAAATTTAATTCAAACAGTAATTCACAAAGAAATCTCACCTTTAGGTCAATTAAATAGCTGTTTAATAGATTGGCCCCCAATGTAGTGTGATATTGTGGTAATGCACATTTTTAACATGATGCTAAATTTGCCTATATGTATTCTGATTATAACGTATATCTGTTTGGAGAAGTCCATCAGGATTTGTAATCCACGCACACCACCAAATCTCGAGCTATAAATCATTCTACAAAGCCTTCATATTTTTCCAAATTGGATACATTTCTGGCATAATTTATTATCTAATCAGTGGCCAGAAAAGTTTAAGCTGATCTGAAACCTCTTTGCCTGATTGAAAGACTGACACGTCTTGTGTGAGTTACTGAAAGGCTGAAATACTGTGCGATGATGGCAACGCTAAATGACAGTCTTGCCTCTGACAAGTGGCAAATGGAGAGGATTACCATGAGCCAATGAGCTACAGAATGAATGTATGTTCAAACCTCATTTGAAGTGGCATCTGTGACATTGCCATGCCAATTTAGAGAGAATTCAATCTGCTGGCATCAACTCTCTAAAACTGTGATTGGACTTGTGAAGAGACCAATTTGTTTCCAAATGTGCAGTCAGGCCTCTTTGTGATTATGATACGATATCTGTATTTATTCTTGAGCTTCAGCAGCTGTATTCTCAACTCCATCAGCACTCAAATTAGCCTTTCTTATCAAGTATTTGAGGGAAGATTAGAACACAATACAGTCTATCATTTTGAGAGGCAGGGTTAATGTTTGCTCGGATGTTTGAGAGGTTATCAGCTGTCAGTACAAATTGCTAGAAAGTTGATGAAGTCTGTGTTTCATTTGTGACCAGCAGTTAATCCAATGTACCAGATTTGTATTCTGGGATGAATTATTTTTGATGAGCCTGCCAGCCCTTTTTTCCCATCAGTTTGTGCATGCTTGCACAAGTTGCACAGTCCATAAATGTCGCTGTCAGGGTTAGGACTTTTCTCGACGCCTGTTCTTCTCAAGATTTGTTGGAAAATATATACAGTATATAGATATTTTCCAAAGCAATGTTACCTTTTTTCCCACAGTTTGATTGTCTGTTTGACAGTTTGTCTATCAGCATGATTACAGAAATACTACACTGGACCGATTGCTTGAACAAGTGGAAGGGTGTACTATGGGCCAAGGAAGGAAATACATTTTGGAGTGGATCCTTATTATGTTGCCAACATCAGAACAACAACTTACACTTTTAATAGGGAGCATATGCAGTTAACCATGAGAGACGTCTGCGCCATTCTAGATCACATTAGTTTTGTTGCAAAGATACTAAGGTGCAATTGTGGACAAACACTTATTGGCTTTCTTGCCAAGAGTTGAAAGATTGTTGTCGAACAAATAAGTAAAATATATTGAAAATTAAGCATAAAATTGACAACTAATCTTGGGTCTCTGTAAATTAAAACGTATGATTAATACCGGCTTTTTATTTAAAAACAATTATATAAACTCTCATATGATCTGGCTCTATCTAAATACAAATGAACTGTACTTAAAGGTGGGGTAGGTAAGTTTGAGAAACCGGCTCGAGATACACTTTTTGTTATATTCCATGGAATGCTCTTAACATCCCGATAGCAATGAATATCTTAAGTGCTTTGACAAAAAATCCATAAAAAAATGTCATCTGTGGAAGCCGTAATACTGTAAAAAGCACGACCAATCATTTTAGCCGGCCCGGCTAAAATAACTGGATGGCCTACCTGCCTGTCAGCCTTCCATCTGTGCACAAACTTATCTCGTGCCCTCATTGGTCATGTGCCCGTTCATGTGAGTTGGAGGAGGGGCTCTGTAAGGAAGTGGCAGATTTGTTCCGGCTGTGTATTTTCAATTTCTAGCGCACTCGAGCTCGTTTCTCCAAAATTACCTACCCCACCTTTAAACTTAGATTCAGTAAAGAAAATAAAAAGTAACCAGATACTTACGAAAAGAAAAGTAATCATAAGAGACGAAACATAACAGATAAGTAAAAAAACATTATGTGTAATGACAAAAAACATACTATAGATGTGAATATATAATATTTTTATATGCTATAAAAAAGCAATATCTCTTACTATATTCGTTTTTCGTGTTACTTAGATTTGAAAGCACCAGTTCTGTTTGCAGGACGCTGCATGAAATCCTGCGTGTGTCTCACGGTTTGATTATTGTGATGAATGATTATCATCTCGGTTGCTCTCACAGGGCAGCAGAGTAAAGGAATGACCAGTTTCTTAGACTATTATCTCTCATCTGTGTGTGCAAACGGCACTTTAATGCTTCAGAGGAGATGAGTAGGAATACAATTAGAATAACTGGATGTGAAAGAGGAGGCTCACTCTGGTGGGGCCTGGTGTTAAAACAAATTGTGTGTGAACGAGGGTGAGAGTGTGTTGCGGCAGAGAGTTGTGTGTGTGTGTGTTTGTGTGTGTCAGGATGTGTGTTATGTGTGCAGGGGAGCTTGTGTATACCCTGTCATATGATAAATGTTCTCTCTCCTATAATCTATGTGCTTCAAAATATGATGTATGTGAGGATGAACTTTGAATTATAACCTAAAGAGTGACTCATTAATCTTCTGACTTTGGAGGGGAGTGGACCAGTGGAATCCATTTTGCGTGTTTATGTTTTATGAATAATGCAATATTGCGACCGGCCAGCTGGATCTGGGCAGTGACGTTCAGACATGTAGAAGACGACACACAAGCAAACAGCTCAGTTTTCTGGAATGAAAAGGAAGTGAATGCATGTTAGCAAGGAAGGTCAAAGATCCTTTAAAGATTTCACTCTGAGCCACACCTGACCTCAGTGCCCTGGAAACAATGTCGATGCTTCATTTCCTCGTGTAGTTTATCACTTCAGTGTATTCTGAACTGTAAAATCGCCTCACATAATACCACACTTACAGACTAAATGTAATTAGTATTTGCACAAGGTCAGCAGAGAAGGCAAAGCAGGGATTCTCTACCTTCATAAATCCCTTAAATCAAGAATGCTGCATTCAAGAGCCTCTTGGAAAAATGGCGTACATGGGCTTTAAAACTGACTTTGATGTTTCCTCTACCACTATCTTCAGGTCCGAATTTAATCAGTCCAATAGTTTTGTTAGTTTTAAAACACCAAACTAATGCTTAACCTTAAAGGTCCCATGATATGCTTTTCTGGTTATTACCCGTCCCCTTGTGTGTTATGTAGCTTTTTATGCATGTAAACGGTCTGCAAAGTCACAAACCCTCAAAGTACACCCTGTAGCGAGTAAAACTCTAACACAGAAAATACCTGTCTATGCTGCCCCAGAACGCCTCGTTGGAGATTTTTATTTTTCAAATGTTGTCTTCCTGGTCATAGTGACGTAACGGTCATAGTGACGTAACGGCTCCGCGGACTGGTCAATTTTTCACTTTGGTCAATTTTTTACTTTTCTCAGCCGCGGCTCTGCGGATTTCCGCTGTGAGTGTGTGTGTGTGCTCAGGCTGAGTTCCGCGGTGTCTCGCTGTCTCACAGACCCCACGCAGCAACCAGGAAACGAGACCAGTAATCCAGCTCACACTGTCCGCTCCTCGAGCCTCAAAGGGCAACGTCCCGCCAACACGGCACCCAGACCCCACGCAGCATTCTCATCTCTTTGTCATTACTGGTGTCATTTTCTGGTTGCTAACAAATGCCATTGTAACACATAATCACTGATGTTCCGCTGTAACGGTGGTGGACTCATCAGAACAGAGTGGGCTCATAGGGAGGGGGGTCAGGAGCTCCAACAAGCGTTTAGGACAGAGAGTGAATACACACTATACAGAGATGCTGTATGAGAAACCAATGTGATTTTGGAACATTGAACTATGTACATCTATTCTAGTAGACCTCAACAATGGAATTATGATCAGTAGAAATGGCCATGTCATGGGACCTTTAAGAAGTTTTTTTTTTTCAAAGCCAATCCTCCTGTCCAGATCACTTAGATCAAATAATCTGCCATTTAATCACTTTCTCTTAGGGGATGTCCAATCAAAAAAGTAAAAAATCGAAGTTTGCGATCATGTATGACAAGAAAAGGCAACAGGTCCAGACAATTGAGAGGCTAAAACCGACACACTTGAAGCATTTTTGCTGAGATTTGACTATTTTCTCTTGATAAACTAATTTATTAAGAGACTGAATAGGCCAGTTCTGCTCCTAACAATATGGCAAAACATGCAACTCAACTGTTCAGTAATCATTTGCATCAAACCTAAGCCAGACACATTAAAATACATTTGTTCTGATCATTTGTAATAACAATAAGCCTATTACATGCAATTTTACAGTCATTTATGCATCTTCTCTGTCAATTATTGTTTTCTAGAGGGAGTGCTAAAAGTGAGGCACAATTGTCTGCGCTGCAATTTCAAATAGTCATTTAAGGTCCCTAGGCCCCAGTGGTGTCCTCAACCTGAGTGACAAAATCCTTTTCAAAGGGAAATGTAGAAACGCACCAAGTTATCAGGTGAGCCCAGACACAATGTAAGAGGTGATTTACTCTGAGCGGGCTACATGTCACCGGGGCTTTCTTTGTTTCCCGGAGGTCTGATTTGAACTCAAATTGCTTCTGTGAAGACTCGGCTTGGCTTCTCATTATGGTTCCCCTCCTACTGCTCAAACATTAAGGAGCCTCATGTGCTGTGCTGCTGTACTGTATCATCAAATGAAATGCCCTTGTTCTCTACTGCTTTGAACCC